CCCCATCCCTTCTCCGCAGGAGGTACCGGGGATGTTGGCTGCTGGGGACTCCACAGCCCCATTTCACTGGGATTTCCCAGCCCTGTCCCTCCTGGCTGCTCCCCGGCCTCCACCACGGTGGGACCCCAAACAGCAGCGCTGAGCAGACCTCCTCCCTCTCATGGGTCAGGCAAAGCAGACCGGAGCGGGGATGCTTGTAGGAGAGCAGGTGGCCAAATAGATGTCAGAGCCCATTTTGGGCTTGCGAACCCTCTCAGCCTCCCCGGCTGGAAGCGCTGTGGGGTTCAGGGACTGCCCCTGCCGCCCTTGCTCCCCCAGCCCCGGTGCTGTGAGGGTCCTGCTGCTGCAAGGTTTGGGGTCCCTCGGCCCTGGTGCATCCCAGGCATCCCCACCACAATCCTCCGTCCTGGCCTGGCTTTGCTTTGGGGGGAGTTCCCCTCATTTTAAACAGCAAACCTGCAACAAGCCCCTTCTCCCAGCCGCCTTGGTGCCCACCCTGCTCCCATCCCTGCAGCCAGCCCCGGGTGTCCCCCTGGTCTCAGCCCCGCACACTGCCCGGTTTGCACCCAGGGCTTCACCCAGCAGTTCTTCACATGCTGTACCTGCCACCTCCCTTTTTATATGGATATGTATAGGGGGAAAGCTGCGTTCGATGGTGAAAAAGCAAATGCAACAGTGAAAAAAAGCAGCAAGGGAAATTAATGCGAGCGTGCGTTTGTAAAAATATTTTTTAACGGAAAGACTTTTTTTCAATTAAATTATTTAAGGAATTTTATGGAGGTTTGCAGTGCCTGTTTGGTTCTTGGGGGGGTCTGGGTGGCGGGGAGCCCTGCACTGGGTGGACAAGGGTGTGTTTGGGCACTTGTGTGTGTAAAAGTGGGTCCCTGGCAGCCAGCAGGAGGCACCTGGCCCTTCGTGGGTGCAAGCCCAGCCCAAGCCTCCCCAAAGATGCTCCCGCCACCTCCCAGGGCAGCTGGTGGGTGAGGACATTTGGAGGGCAGGGGGGAGCAGGGGATGTTCCCCGCCAGCCCTCGGGTGCTGCTGTGGCGACATCCTGGTGCGGTGGGGATGGGGACTGCATGGGGTGGCCCTTGGGGAGTGTGGTGGCCAGGCT